GCACTGCCAGCGCGGGCTTTCCAGCAAGGAGAGCGACGCCATGGCCAGAGAGTGAAGCAGCCGCCCAGCCCGAATGTGAGCAGTCGGCAGAGGCGAACGGCTGGCCGTTTGGATCACTTCTCTGGTGGTAAGCTGTGTGGAACGTGCAGCCTCCGTCCCTTTCGCGCGTCCGCAGTCGGTCCGCAGCCTGTGTAGGCTCGCAGGCCTGCCACCTTCGTGTATGTACGGTCGTTGTGACGCCCCAAAGACCGCCGCGCGGGGCCCGCGGCACGCTGGAAAAACGATTCTCAGGCTGACGCCATCGTCGCTGATCAGCATCTCCTTTCTCCTCCCTCCTTGTATTTTTCCCCCTCCTCCGCCTTCTCGTCCTCCCCTCCACCCCCGCGGAAGGGAGAGTCGCCTTGGGCGTGTTGGGTTGTCGTCGTCGCCAGCGCCGCCGGCGCCAGCGAAGGCGTCGTCGTCGTCGTCGTCGTCGTCGTCGTCGTCGTCGTCGAGGGTCCGCAGCGCGTTCGGAGGCCTGCAGCTCGCGCGCCGAGCAGCAGGGATCCCTGGAGCCTCCGTCGCCGAAGGCGCGGCGGCGGCCGCTCGCGCGCGCCCCCGCGGTCGGTCCGTGCCTCCCGCATTCCGTGAGGTCTGGGCGTTGCAGTTTTTTCGCACTGGGCGTTTCCCCGGCGGCGAGCGAGGGGGGAAGTCAGAAGGAATCTTTGCCTTCGGGGAGAGGCCAAGGAAAATATTCAGAAGACCACTGTTCAGAAGACCGGAGGGCTTCCGAGCCTTCTTGGAAGGCCCGCCCCGTCTCACTTCCCCACCGGGCGTGCCGCCGATTTCGCCCGGCTTGGGGCCCAGGGAGCATCACCGAGCGATGCAGGTCGAGAGAGGACGCAGAAAGATAGGGCTCGGGGCTGCAGTCGTGCTCTTTGCGATGCTGGCATTTTTTATGCAGCCTCGGAGCTCAGGGTCGGCCCCTCGTGAAGAGTGGCCCCTCGCCGGTGGAGGTGGTCTTGGGCAAGTGTTGACGAGCTTCCGTCGGTGCTTGGAGCTCCTGCGCCCCGGGGATGCTCGCCAGGGGGGCGTTTTCCTTCTCAGCCTCGGGCAGCTTTGCTTGCAGGGCATTCGCGCCCGCCGCCTTTTCAAGCAGCGTTGGGCGGAGAAGGCGCGCGAGTGGGTCTCGACTTGCGTGGTGCCTGGACCTCTTGGACCTCCCCCCCCCCCCCCCCCCCCCCCCCCCCGCATGCTCCTTCCATGCAGGGCAACCTTGCTGGAATCGCGGGGAAAACATGCCTCCAGCATGTGCTTCTGGCCGAGGGCGTTCCGGGGATGCCCGAATCGTCCCGAGCGTCCGCTGGGGCCCGACTTTGGCCCGAGAATCAGCCCGTGACTCTGCGAGGGGCTTCCGTCGCCGAAGGCGGGGGCCGCTCGCGCGTGGATCGCAAGCGCGCTCCGTCGACGTCGTCGTCCTGTCCTCGTCCGCGTCCGCGTCCTCGTCGTCCTCGTTGTCCTCGTTGTCCTCGTCGTCGTCGTCGGCGGCAGCGGCGGCGGCGGCGGCGGCCTCGTTGTCGGCGTCGTCGTCGTCGTTGCCGTGCTGCGTGTTGCTCCAAGGTTGCTCCAAGGTCCTGTTTTCGCTGTGCAGTGACCTCTGCCTGTTGCTCGGGGACTTGTTTTCTCATTTCCTGGGCCTGGATGGGGCTCAGAAGACGGGTCAGGATGATGCCGGGGAGGGGTCTGGAGACGGTCTTGAGTATTTTCTGGAGGGATGGATGATGATGATGATGATGATGATGATGATGATGATGATGATGATGATGATGACGATGACGATGACGATGACGATGATGGTGATGATGATGATGATGATGATGATGATGCTGATGATGATGATGCTGATGCTGATGCTGATGATGCTGATGATGATGATGATGCTGATGATGATGATGATGATGATGATGATGATGACGATGACGATGACGATGACGATGATGGTGATGATGATGATGATGATGCTGATGATGATGATGATGCTGATGCTGATGCTGATGATGATGATGCTGATGCTGATGATGATGATGCTGATGATGATGATGATGCTGATGATGATGATGATGATGCTGATGCTGATGATGATGATGCTGATGATGATGATGATGCTGATGATGATGATGATGATGATGATGATGACGATGACGATGACGATGACGATGATGGTGATGATGATGATGATGATGATGATGCTGATGATGATGATGATGATGCTGATGCTGATGCTGATGATGATGATGCTGATGCTGATGATGATGCTGATGATGATGATGATGCTGATGATGATGATGATGATGATGATGATGATGATGATGATGCTGCTGCTGCTGCTGATGATGATGATGATGATATGCTGATGATGATGATGATGATGATGATGATGCTGATGATGATGATGATGATGATGATGATGATGATGATGATGATGATGATGATGATGATGATGCTGCTGCTGATGATGATGATGCTGCTGCTGATGATGGAAATGATGATGGTGATGATGATGATGATGAGGATGATGCTGATGATGCTGATGATGCTGCTGATGATGATGATGATGGTGATGGCGATGCTGATGATGATGGTGATGGTGGTGGTGATGGTGATGATGTTGATGTTGATAATGGTGATGCTGAGATGATGGCGAGATGATGATGCTGCTGATGCTGCTGATGATGCTGATGATGCTAATGCAGATGATGATTATCATGATGGCGATGATGCTGCTGCTGATCATGATGGTGCTGATGATTATGATGAGAATTATGATCATGCTGATGATGATTATGATGCTGCTGACGCTGATGCTGATGCTGATAGTGGTGATGGTGATGCTTGTGATTCTGATGCTGATGATGATGCTGATGAAACTGTTGATGATGATGCTGATGATGCTGCTGATGATGCTGATGATGATGGTTATGATGATGACGCTGCTGCTGATGATGATAGTGATGGAACTGATGGTGATTGTGATGATGATTATGATGGAAATGATGATGCTGATGATGCTGATGATGCTGATGATGGTGATGACGATTCGGATTCTGCTTATGATGCTGCTGCTGCTGATGATGATGATGATGATGATGATGATGATGATGAGATGACGATGATCAGATGATGGTGGTGATGATGCTAGTGATGATGATGGTGATCATGATGATGCTGCTGATGGTGCTAATGGTGATGACGATAGTGATGATGATATTGTAGTGGCCTCTGGCCAGTGCCGCCGATCCGGGGTGCTACCGATTCTGCTTGCAACGGATGACCTTTTGTGTGTAAAAGTAGAGCACTCGCTCGAGACATCCTCATACGATAGAGATGTTGAACTCCCTTGGGCAACCTTCGGATATTCGAAAGTAGTGACGATCTCGCGTGAGCAGCCAAACTCACGGGATGTCCCCTCGCACCTTCTGGGTCTGAATGGCGTCAGCCATGGCGTCAGCCCCCGTCACCCCCCGACTCCCCCGTCCCGGGCGTGAATGGCGTCAGCCATGGCGTCGGCCTTCCCCTCCCTCTCCTCTCCGGCGTCAGCCATGGCGTCAGTTCCCCCCCCCCCCCCCCCCCCCGCGACAGAGTGAAGCTTGAGCGAGCTCCCCCGTTCCTCCCCCATCCCGGGCCTAAATGGCATCAGCCATGGCGTCATCGCCCCCCCCCCTCTCCCCGACTCCTCCCTCGCGGCTCTGACTAGCGTCAGCCATGGCGTCACCCCCCGCCCTCCCCCCTCCCCCCTCCTGGGCCTGAATGGCGTCAGCCATGGCGTCAGCCGCCTCCCCCCCTGACAGAGCGAAGCTTGAGCGAGCTCCCCCCCCCCCTTCCCCCCTCCCGGGTCTGAATGGCGGCAGCCACGGTGTCAGCTCCCCCCCCCCCCTTCCGACCCCCTCCTCGCGGGCCTGAATCTCCCCCCCCCCCCTCCCCCCTCCTGGGCCTCAACGGCGTCAGCTATGGCGTCAGCCGCCTCCCCCTCCGACAGAGCGAAGCTTGAGCGAGCTCCCCCCCCTTCCCTCTCCCCGACTTCCTCCTCCCAGGCCTGAATGGCGTCAGCCATGGCGTTCCCCCCCCTCCTCGCAGATGATGGTGATGATGATGCTAATGATGAGGATGGTGATCATGATGATGCTGCTGCTGCTGATGGTGCTGATGATGATGACGATAGTGATGATGATAATACTGATGTTGTTGATGATGATGCTGCTGCTGATGAGGATGATTATGATGATGCTGATGATGATGCCGATTAGGTTGATGATAGTGATGATGATGATGATGATGAGGATGATAGTGATGGTGATTATGCTGATGATGGTGATGATGATGATGATGACGGCGGTTGAAGTTGTGGTCATGATGCTGCTGCTGATGATGATGGTGAAGATGATGATGATGATGTTGATGATGAGGATGATGAGGATGATGAGGATGATGATGATGCTGATGATGATGCTGATGATAATGGTGATGATGATTGTGATGCTGATGCTGATGATGATGATGATGATGCTGATGCTGATGCTGCTGATGATGCTGATGCTGATGGTGATGATGATGATGATGACGATGATGATGATGATGATGATGATGATGCTGATGATGATGCTGATGATGATGATGATGATGATGATGATGATGATGATGCTGATGATGATGATGATGATGATGATGATGATGATGATGGTGGTGGTGATGATGATGATGATGATGATGATGATGATGATGATGAGGAGGAGGAGGAGGAGGAGGAGGAGGAGGTGTGTGTGAGAGAGAGAGGCAGATGCCCACCAGCCGCAGACAGATCCCGATCGTTGATGACTCAATGGCGGCCGTCGCCGATTCGTGGGGACGATCTGCGAGTTGACACTGAGCGAAAGGCGAAAGAGGGACGGTGACCAAGGTCGACACGACGTTTCCGCGCTCAGTTCTGGTCATGGTCTTCTTCCCCCTCCAGAGAACGGCCCGCGGGACGTGCAAGACCGGCCCCGAGGAGATCCGGGGGCCTCCGGCGAGTGCTGCTGGGCGCCCCAGCGCCAGGCCCAGCTCAACCTCTGCCAACCCGAATGGTTGGGCCGGCTTCCGCCGTACGCGTGCCATTGCCGGTGAGTCTTCGACGAGGGCCCACGCCTCTGTCAATGGTCCTGCGGACGTGTGAAAGCCCAACTGAGCGACGCAGAATCACGGGTTCGGCTGCGCGGACCTATTTGTGCGTAAGTTGCCCGCGTGGAGTCGCGCGTGAGCGCCCCCGCTTCCAACGTGTAGTGTGCCGCGCTGGCGGCCCGCGTGAGGCACCGCGCAAGGTCGCTGTGCCATCTCGTAAAACCGCGCCGTTTTCGTGGCTCAGCTGTGTGTGTTCCCCCATTCGGCTCCGCCGATGGTGCGCAGCCTGTGTCGGCCGCCGCTGCACCGCCTTCGTCGTATCCGCAGGTTTTCGGTGGACGAGAACACGCTTGCGGTGCAATGCGCGTTCTGAGGACCACCGCCGCCTGGATCCGCAGGCGGCCCTGGAGAGGATGCTCGGAGGCTGCCAGATGGGTTCGTCGGACAAGGCCGTCTATCTTCGCTGGACCCGAGGCCTCCCCCAGCCCGACCTGACGCCCCGCCAGCTCGACCCGAGGCGCCCCAGAAGCCGTCGAGATCACCCCTTCTCGAACCAGCTCTTCTCGACGTTCCCGACACATGGGGTCCGAGCAGATGGGGTCGGAGGATCGTGCCGCATCGCCGATACATCGCCGATGCGGCTCGATGTGGAGCCCGATGTTCTCCACGCCAGCGTCGCCGATGCACCGCCGACGTCGCCGATGCAATCGGCGGCGCGCCCGGGGGGACGCGGAGGTCGGTCACCCGCAGAGGGGGGTATGGGGGAGGGGGGAAGCCTCCTTACAGGGAGTCTGCTTCTCAGAAGGCGCGAGCCTCATCTGTAATTGTAAGGCTGGCGCCTTTTGAGAAGCAGCCTCCTTCTTAAAAGCCTTCCCCCTCCCCCTACGGTAAGTTCACGCGGCGTTTGCGCGCCGGCGACGCCGGCGAAGGCGTTCAATATTGAAGTCCTATGACGCGGAAGCACCGATGGACACAGTAACGCCACTGGACCCGACGGAATTCAACCTTGAACGATCGGGGCCGCGATCGGTTCAAGGCTGAACGATCGATGCGGTGTCAAAAACCTTTGCGCACGCCGACGCCGCACGAAGCAACCGTACCCCCCCTCGGCGAGTTGGATCCGTCACGATATGCGAATCTGAGGAGGAGTAGGAGGCGGAGGCGGAGGCGGAGGCGGAGGCGGATGATGATGATGATGATGATGATGATGATGATGATGATGATGATGCTGCTGCTGCTGCTGCTGCTGAGGAGGAGGAGGAGGAGGGAGGGAGGGAGGGGGAGGGAGGGAGGGAAGGGAGGGAGGGAGGGAGGGAGGGAGGGAGGGAGGGAGGGAGGGAGGGAGGGAGGGAGGGAGGGAGGGAGGGAGGGAGGAGAGGAGGGAGGGGAGGAGAGGAGGAGGAGGAGAGGAGGAGGAGGAGGAGGAGGAGGAGGAGGAGGAGGAGGAGGAGGAGGAGGAGGAGGAGGAGGAGGAGGAGGAGGAGGTAGGAGGAGGAGGAGGAGGAGGAGGCGAGGACGGAGGAGAGGAGGAGGAGGAGGAGGAGGAGGAGGAGGAGGAGGAGGAGGAGGAGGAGGAGGAGGAGGAGGAGGAGGAGGAGGAGGAGGAGGAGGAGGAGGAGGAGGAGGAGGAGGAGGAGGAGGAGGAAGGGGAGGAAGAGGAGGAGGATCAGGTGGGGGGGGGGACTTCGCATCAGGTGACGAAATCCCTCTGCCTACTCCTCTGCGCGCCGCCAGGAATGGGGGGGGCAGACCTCAATCCTCCTCGCCTTTCCCGAGATGCCCCTTCCAGAGGGGCTCGCTTCGCCACCGCGCGAACGGTCGGGCCGGCCGTCACCTCGATCGGCGGGCGGGCGGCGCAGTCGGCGGCTCCAGCGACGCGGCGGCGGCCCCATCGGCGGGGGGAATGGGAGGGAGGGAGGGGGCCTTGAGACGGGAGTCAATGCCTCCCTCCCTCCTCCCTGCCTGCCTGCCTCCCTCCCTGCCTGCCTCTCTCCCTCCCCCCTCTCCCCCCCCCTCCCTTCCTTTCTCCCTCCATCCCCTTCCCCGGGCGCCCGGGCCCCTGAGGAGTCAGGAGCCTTGAGACGGCGGTCAATGCAAACGGGGGCCAGCCGGAGCGCCGGATCTTGCAGGGTCCTGCAGAGCCAGGGGTGCATTGATTTGGAGTGGAGTGCAGGATGGATCCTGCAGGATCTTGTAGGATCCTGCAAAGCCTGATTGACCCAGTTCTGGATTGACCCAGGTCAGTATCTCCCCGAGGAGGGAGGGAGGAGGGTAGGGAGTGCGGAGGAGGAAGCAGAAGGAGGAGGGCAGTCGTCGCTGTCGTCGCTGGAGTCGTTCGATGTCGTCGTTGCCGCCGCCGCCGCTGGAGTCGTTGTCTTCGCCGTCGTCGCCGTCGCCGTCGCCGTCGCTGTCTGCTGTTGCCGTTGCTGTCGCCGTCGTAGTCTTCGTTCCCACCATGGCCGCACCGCCGTCAGGTCGAGAAGTCCAAGGCGCACCAGGCCGGAAGCCGAGCTGCCGGAGCCGACGACGGGGAATGGTTGTTTCTTTTTTGGTGTGTGTGTGTGTGTTGGTTGGTACTGTTGGTATTGCGGTTCGGTGGTATGGTTTGTTTAAGTGTGAGCGTCTTGCCTTTAGTACACTTGAGCCTGTCGCGGCCCCAACTCGTTGTGTGTCATTTGTCATGTCTGAAGGCGTATCCGTGCGCAGTGCAGCGTAAAGCAATGCAATCATGTGCATCGCAATGCGTTGCCGTGCAATTCAACGCGTAGTACACCGTCGCAATACACAGCACCTCTCAAGAGCACGCAGTATGACATAGCAGCACGGGGCAGGACTGAATAGTATAATGTAGCATGGGATATCATGGCGTGGCGTAGCTTCACACGGCATGCCATGTCATACCCAGCCGCACATCGTAGCATACCATTCATGTTGATCATATTATGCGTTAGCAGTTCACTTGCATGGCATTAGCGTTGCCTGACATAGCACAGCACATCATAGCATGGTATAGCGTAGCATGTCGTATGGGGCCCATACTCGCCAAACACATAGTTTCGCGCCAGGCCCTGGTGCCCAAATCGCGAGGAGTTGTCCTGACCACAAAAGAGTGCGTTTTTTCCCACAGAGCAGTCAGGACATGATTAGGTGAGCCTGATGGGGATATAATTGAGCGAGAGGAGGAGGAGGAGGAGGAGGAGAAGTAGGAGGAGGAGGAGGAGGAGGAGGAGGAGGAGGAGGAGGAGGAGAGGGAGGAGGAGGAGGAGGAGGAGGAGGAGGAGGAGGAGGAGGAGGAGGAGGAGGAGGAGGAGGAGGAGGAGGAGGAGGAGGAGGAGGAGGAGGAGGAGGAGGAGGAGGAGGAGGAGGAGGAGGAGGAGGAGGAGGAGGAGGAAGGAGGAGGAGGAGGAGGAGGAGGAGGCGGAGGAGGAGGAGGAGGCAGGAGGAGGAGGAGGAGGAGGAGGAGAGGAGGGAGGAGGAGGAGGAGGAGGAGGAGGAGGAGGAGAGGGAGGAGGAGGAAAGGAGGAGGAGGAGGAGGAGGAGGAGGAGGAGGAGGAGGAGGAGGAGGAGGAGGAGGAGGAGGAGGAGGAGGAGGAGGAGGAGGAGGAGGAGAAATCAGGGAGGAGGGATGCCACTCAGCTTGCTCATTCTGCTTAAGTAGTCGTGGCGCGATGCCGCTTCAAGGTGGCACGCACCAGGGCACGGCACTCAGCGAATATGGAATGCTGCCCGATTTTGCATTTTTCGCCCCGAGGTCAAACGCTGTCGTCTTCACCGACATTAGCGCGGCAGCGCTCGCGTAACGATGTGCGAAAACGCCTTCGTCTCCAAAGGTGCTGTGTCAGCGTGCGTAAGACCCAGCAGTGACTTGTTTCCTGGACTCAACGCTGGTCCATAGTTCGCAATGTGCTGTTAGCACGGCCCTCTGTGGGGCCACTGAGGCAAATTGCTGCTGAGGTGGGGAAGCGCTGCTGCAGTACCGCCCGTCCGGCCTGCGCTGAACCGTGTACGCAACTGTCTTTTTAACATCTGATGTCATAACGATCTTCAGACGACCGACGGAAGACAACGGGGCCGTCTGCGCCGACACTCGCGCGTAAGCTGCCCGCATGAGGCTGCGGGTGAGCGCCCTCTTTCGGGGACCAAATGCGAACCCTACCCTTGCTCGTAACTGATATGTAACCTTATTTTGTAGAAATTGGAATACGTACCTGTATTTTGTTTTTAGCTTTTGTCTTTATTAATTATTAAATCCACCATTTCTGAGGGGGGTAGGGGTAGGGTTCGCATGTGAGCCCCCAGTCTGCTCCTCGCGGGGTGCCGCGCTGGCGGCCCGCGTGAGCCGCGGCGTGAGGTCGCCATGTGTCCTTGCGGACCCCCCGCTTCTTTTCGCCGCTCACATGATGCTCAACTATTGGGTTTCTCATCGTCGCGCCACTCAGCATCTCTGATGTCCAGGGGCTCTTCTCGTCGCTCCGCTGGGTGTAAGCTCTGATTGCCGCTCCTCCCGAGCGGCAAGCATCTGCTTCCAATGCTGAGACGATGTGTCGCCTCGCTGCCCGTCTTGTGCCTCGCAGTCGGGCGCTCCGTCTTCCGCTTCACAGCCGGGCGCTCCATTTCCCGCTCCACGGCCGTGAGGCGCGCCGTCTTTCATACCCCGTGTCGAGGTTTCCGAAGGGCTGCCGATCGCGCGCTCTTCTGCCCACGCGCCCTTCCGGATGCTTGGCTCTGTGGTGGTGAGGTGGTGGTGGTGGTGGTGAGACGATGTGTCGCGCGACATGGCCTGTGAGCCAACGAACGCACTGAGCACCCCAGGCCCCCCTCGCCGCCCCGCCGCGCGGGAGGCCGAGATCAAGGGGCACCTATACAGGCCCACCGCCCGCGCCCGCGCCCGCCCCCCCTCCCTTCCTCCCTCGCCCCCTCGTTCCCCCCTCCCCCCTCCCTCCCTCCCCTTCCCTGGGCTCCCGGGCCCCTGAGGAGTCAGGAGCCTTGAGACGGGGGTTCAAGGCAAGCGGGGTGTCAGCCAGAGTGCCTGATCTTGTATGATCCTGCACAGCCAGGGTTGCATTGACCCGGGTTAGCGTGCGGGATCCTGCAGGATCCTGCAAGGCCTGACTGACCCTGGTTTACACTAACCCGGGTCAGTGCGTCCCCGAAGGAGGACGACCGGGCGGAGGGGACGTTCAGGAGCAACATTAGGGGGGATAGGCTCAGTGGGGGATGCATCGACCTCCACTCGCCCATGGATCGCCGATAAGGGTTCGCTGGCCGTTTCCCGCCCAGGAGCCCGCGGATTCGCTATCCGCTATCAGGGGACCATCGCTGATGTATCGGTGATGTATCGCCGATTCCAAGCCGATGCTTCTCTCCCTGAACCAGTTTCGGCGGTGAGCGAGGGGTGAAAGTGAGCACGAGAAGGCCTTTTCAGAAGGCGGCGGGGCTTCTCAGAAGCCCTCGGGCTTTCTGAAGGTTTTACGTGTCTTCGGGGAATGGCTCAGAAAACTTCTCAGAAGGCCAGGGGGACTGCCGAAGATTTTGAGAAGGCCCGCCCCTTCTCCCTTCCCCCCCCGGGCTCGCCGCCGACATTCCTCCAGCCTCGCTGCCCCTCAGACACGGAAGGGGAAGGGAACGAGCGAGGCAGGCCCAGCCAGGGAAGCGCTGGGGGCCCCCGCGGGGCCCATCTGCCGTCCACGGAACGACTCGGGACGCGAAACACCGGCCCCGGGGAACAGGGGCGGGACTTCGGGGGACCGTGTGTGTGTGTGTGTGTGTGTGTGTGTGTGTGTGTAGAGAAAATCGGGACGTCACATGTCTGGGTCCCCCCCCTCCCCTCCTGGAGGAGGAGGAGGAGGAGGAGGAGGAGGAGGAGGAGGAGGAGGAGGAGGAGGAGGAGGAGGAGGAGGAGGGAGGAGGAGGAGGAGGCGGAGGAGGCGGAGGAGGCGGAGACGGAGGAGCGGGAGGAGGCGGAGGAGGCGGAGGAGGAGGAGGAGGAGGAGGAGGAGGAGAGAGAGGAGGAGGAGGAGGAGGAAGGAGGAGGAGGAGGAGGAGGAGGACAGGAGGAGGAGGAGGAGGAGGAGGAGGAGGAGGAGGAGGAGGAGGAGGAGGAGGATGGAGGAGGAGGAGGAGGAGGAGGGAGGGAGGAGGAGGAGGAGGAGGAGGAGAGGAGGAGGAGGGAGGAGAGGAGGGAGGAGGAGGAGGAGGAGGAGGAGGAGGAGGAGGAGGAGGAGGAGGAGGAGGAGGAGGAGAGGAGGAGGGGGAGGGGGAGGGGAGGGGGAGGGGGAGGGGGGAGGGGAGGAGGAGGAGGAGGAGGAGGAGGAGGAGGAGGCGGAGGAGGAGGGGAGGAGGAGGAGGGAGGAGGAGGAGGATGAGGAGGAGAGAGGAGGAGGAGGAGCGAGGAGGAGGAGGAGAGGAGGGGAGGAGGAGGAGGGAGGAGGAGGAGGAGGAGGAGGAGGAAGAGGGAGGAGGAGGAGGAGGACCACCCCCCCTCGACAAGGGAAAGGCTCGGCCAGGCGAAACTCTGGGGGCCCTCGCTGGGCCCCTGGGCCTCAACATAAACGACTCAGGATGAAGAGCCGGCCCTGGGGAGAGGGTCGGGACTTTCGGGGATCGCTTGCGGTCGGACCAGGGTTGAAGGGTTTCTCCGAAGGGCTTAGGCAATCCGTCCTCCTCCTCCTCCTCCTCCTGCTCCTCCTCCTCCCTCCTCTCCTCGCCTCCTCCTTCCTCCTCCTCCTCCTCCCTCCCTCCCTCCTCCTCCCCCCTCCTCCCCCTCCTCCTCCTCGTCCTCGTCGTCGTCGTCCTCCTCCTCCTCCGTAGCCATTTTGGCTCAAGGTGCCTGCACTGTGGGGGCTCCGCGCCTCCGTGCCTGCAAGGATATCGCTAGTCCGCGGCAGTCATCCAGTGTCTCCGCCTGGTCCGCCCCAGGTGAGGAGCCCGCCACCCATGTGGCGCGCCGTTCGCGTGGCATATCTCCTCTTCCTCGCGGCGGCGGCGGCGGCGCTGGCGCTGGTGCAGCGAGTGAGTCGGCTCAGGGGATGAGTTGGCGCTGCAACCGCTGCCCCTGCAAGAACCTGGGCTGGCGCGCCAAGTGTCGACAGGCGGGGTGCACGGGCTGTCGGCCGACCAATCGTGGTGTGCCTGCTCCTCGTGACGGTCCTCCTCCACCGCGCGGGGCTTGGGCGCATGGTGCTGGCGGCTCTCGCCCGTGGCACATCGTGCAGAAGCCGAAGCGTGGAGGTTGCGGGAGCTCTGAGGCGCAGCCGCCCAGGCTCTCGCCCGAGGCCCGTGACCGTTTCCTGGCTCTCGACGAGACCGACTTTGAGCTCCTGTCCGTCACGCTGTCCGTCAGTGACAAGCACAGCCTGCGGCAGTCTCGTTTCCTGCTGCAGCAGCAGCTGGGCACGCTCTCCGAGGTCAAGACGGTCAAATCTGCGCAGGTGGCGGCGGACGAGGCCTGCAAACGGCTCCAGCAAGCCAAGGTGGACTACGAGAAGAAGCAGAAGCTTGCCGCCGAATCGCTCCAGACGTCCTGCCTCCAGAGGGAGAAGGTCGCGCAGCTACAGGTCGAGCTCGGCGCCGCCGTCTCCAGGGCGATGGCCGCGCTCGCCAACGACGGTGCGCCCAAGGCTGCAGCTGCGCCCACGTGTGACGTCGGCGAACTCATCAGCCATGCGAAGAAGCTTGAGGGCGTCGTGCGCGCATCTGCGGAGAACCCGAACATCCAGTTCAGCGAGGACATCGTGGGGCCCCCACCGTGCGCTGCTGGCAGGAGTATTGGCAGCTCAGACCCCCGAGCCAGTCGCAGCGGGTGGACGAACATCTGGCGCCTAAGCGGGCGGCAACGGGGCAGGCGCTGGGGCAGCTGCTGCTAGCGTCGCCGCGGGCGAGGACATCGACGTGGACCTCGAGGGGGGCCCGCTGGACTTCACCGCGGGCGACTCGTTCAAGGCCGCCGCCTCCGTCTTCGTCGGATGCGACCCCGACAAGAGGAAGTTCGCCGAAGAGTTCCAGGCCCACCTCAAGCAGATGCACGAGGTCGCGGTCGATGCCAAGAGCACTCAGTCCTGGAGCATCGCGTCGCTGAGTATGAATGCATCTTCGAATATCGACAGGTGCTTCATCGAGGAGCTGACGGGCTGCGACGTCATCCTGTTTCAGGAGGCTCGGCTGGGTCAAGCACGCGCGGCGGACGCCGAAGGGGAGCTTCGTCGTAGGGGGCTTCGTGCTTTTGGGGCAGCCGCAGTGCCATCGCTGGCTGGAGGCCTGGCTACAGGGGGCTGCTCACGTGCGTGCGCAGCGAGCGTGGGCTTGCCACCGTGCGGGGGTCGCGCCCTTCCGTGCTGCGAGAAGGGCGAGTTCAGGTGCTACATCGCTCAGGGCCGCTGCGTGGCGGTATATTGTTGGCCAACATTTACCTGCGGCCAGGCGTCGGCGTCAACGCCTTCAACTACCAGTCGCTGCGCGACCTGGCCTGCAGGCTGCGAGTGTGCGGTCGTCCGTGCGTGGTTGGAGGCGACTTCAATTGCACCGAGGAGGAGCTGGTGAAGTATGGAATGCTGGGGCTCTTCGATGCGGTCGTCGCCGACGCGCTGGGGCCCACCGCCGCGCAATCGAAGAGGACGATCGACCTGTTCATCGGCCCGCGCGGGCACAAGGTGACCAACATCCGCGTGGTCAGTGGGTCGCCTGCCTACCCGCGCAAGCCCGTCATCCTGGAGCTGGAGGCCTCGCGCAGCAGTCCGTGGGTCCGGGTGGTTCAGGTGCCCAAGGTCTTCCCTGTCCAGCGTCCTGCAGGCTGTGTTCGCCTCGCGCATGGCGAGCGCTGGAGCGCGATCAGCCAGGGGCTGAAAAAGGCCTGCTTGCTGGAGAGCATGAGAGGGCGAGGGGCGTGTCCGAGCACGTCGGCTACATCGAGGGCCATCTCATCGCCGCCTGGCAGCGGTTCCTCGACGCCGCGGGCGAATCATCTACCAGGCGGAAGAGGACAGGGTCAAGCACAAAGGGCGAGCTCGCCCTGCTGAGCCGCGGTGGTACCGTCGGCCCCCTGTGGCTGTCGCGCGCTGGCCTCGAGTCTCTGCGGAGGCGACCTGGGTGCACCGCGTGGCCAGCGTGATGCTCGACATCGCCGCCGTGGAGCAGCCGGGTGCACGTCTCGATGCTCTACGAGGTGTGCGCAGACTGCTAGACTGAGCCCCTGCCACAGTGAGGGTGACACCTGGCGGCGGCGAGGTTCTGTTCTGCCCTCAGGTGGTGCCCCGAGCTCTGGCGTGGTGGATGCTGCTTAACAACTTGCGCCTGTCCCTGCTGGACCCCGCCGCGCTGCTGCAGCTGCGCGCGGGCGCCCGCGCGGTCGCGCTGGAGGTGGCGTGGCGGGGCGTGGCGCAGCGGGCCACCTTGTTTCAGCAGTGGGTCGAGAAGCAGGCCGAAGGTGGAGGTGGTGGTCTTCGTGCCGTCTCCCGCCTGCCCATCGGGTTTGGCCCGGGCCCCATCGGCGAAGCCGAGCGCGGCGACTCCATCGGCGGCGGCGAGCAGCCCTTCGAGCCCCTGGAACTCAGGCAGCAGGTCACGCGGCTCGAGGTGAAGTGGGGTCGCTGGTGGAGAACCTCCTGCGAGCAGGTGCGCTTGCATTGGTCCTCGGACCTGGGTGAGAGGCCGCCTGGGCCCACAGTCCAGGGGCAGCGCAAGGTTCTGCGCTCTGTCAAGGCGACAACAGGCGTGTCCTTCGGCGTGGTGAGGCCGCGGCAGCTGGGCGAGCTGTGCGACGAGGCGCTGGAGGTCCTGATCGACGTCATCACGGCGATAGAGCGGGACGCCCCCAGGCCTCTCATGACCATCATGATCGGCTTCATCCAGAAGCGGCTCGGAGGCGTGATG